CCCATACTCATGGAGAAAAATTAGAGTTATTGGACAAGGTGGTGTGGCAACTCCCATGCAAATTGATTTTTCTATGCTGCATATCTCTGGAGGGGTTTATTTCAGAGGAGTGGAACTTGGCACCGAGATGTGTATACAAAATTAATTCCATACTCATGGAGAAAAATTTGCGTTATTCGAAAAAAGGGCATGGTACCCTCCGTACAAATTTACTATTTTATACTGCATATCTCTAGAGGTGTTCATGGTAGAGTACTGGGACTTGTACTGGGGTATATAAAATCAATTCCAAACTCATGGAAAAAATTAGGGCTTTAAGAAAAAGGGGCGTGGCACTTGCTGTACAAATTGACTGTTTCTTGCTACATATCCCTGGAAGTGTTTGCGGAAGAATACTGGAACTTGGTATGGAGTTGTGTATACAAAATATATCAATTGCTCACGGAAAAAATGTGAGTTATTAAAAAAGGCGGCATGTCGCCTCCCATACATACTAAAACTTTCTTAATACATATCTCTAGAAGTATTTAAAATTTGTTATGGAGATTTATTTTATAAGTGCCGTACTGACAGAAAAAATTTCATTTAATGGAAAAGGGAGAGACGGCTTTGGCCTTATAACCTAAAGCTCTCATGATGCATACATACCTCTTGAGGCATTTAGCTACAGTAATGAGAAGTGTTATTTTGTCAAGGCCAGGTTACTAAATTTGAGTTGGAAATATTAGAACCCGCCGTGGCACCTCCAGGAAGGTTACACGTTCATGCGTCGTATCCCTAGAACCATTTTAAGGTGGGGTGAAACCCGCGGGTATAAGCTAGTGTAAAAATACATCTGAAAGGAGCTGTATTGTTTAAATTTTTTATATTAATATTCTGGAGTTTTCTAGAAAATAATTTTTTATGTTAAGGGAACAGGCCTTGACTTTTCAACCACACAGTTACTGTGCCAGCGTTCCAAGCCGCCATTTGGCCAAACAAGTTTTCAAAGTAAATCAAAGCAAATTGAAGTAAGCAAGGCGCGCAAAGCAAGCCTACATTGGGCCAGTGCCTTAATGCTGAATGGGGAAATTTATATAATAAAACAAGTAAGAGCAGCGCTGTCTTCGGCTATGCCGAAGGCTTCATACCTTTCATGAACATCTGAAAACTTCTTTAACAGATTACTACATTTGAAAAAATTTATATGTATATTCACAGCACACATAGATAGAGGAATTACATATATAAAAAATCTTATCTAAACAATCAGAGATATGGAAGATATACCTTATATAGCACCAGTCAAAGTGATTTTCGCCGCTATGTGATTGGTATGTAAACCGGTAACACAATTTAATTGGTTTGGCTTCCTACATAAAGGAGATATATAGCAAAAACTGGTATAGGAACAATCAATGGTATACGAGATAAGGCTTATACAGCATAGATTTTGAGCTTACAAAATTTATCGGTTTTAGCTGTCCAAATAAATTAGTTTTACATTAAAACCCCGTATCTGAACAATCAGTTATATGGAGGCAATATATAAGTTATAGCAACCCGATCTTCGCCATTTTCTCTGAAAGTATTCTTTTGATAATGATAACGAAAAATCTTATATCTGAACAATCAGTAGTACGGGAGCTATAGGTTATAGTGACCTCTAAGTTTCACTCTAAGTTCTCTGTTGATAATGGGTGGAAGTATTGCAAAATTTCATGTTCTTAGCTGCATAAATGGAGAAGTTATAACGAAAAATCTCATACCTGAACAACCAGTTGTATGGGAGCTATATGTTATAGTGGTCCGATTCTTCCGGTTCCGACAAATGATTAATACATTATATAAATACACCCACCTACCAAATTTCATCGGGATATCTCGAAAACTGAGAGACTAAATTGCATACAAACAGACGGACAGACAGACAGACGGACAGACGGACATGACTAAATCGACTCAGCTCGACGTTCTGATCATTTAAGTATACATTTTAATGGGTCTATCTCTTCTTATTCTGGTACTTACAAACATCGGACCAAAGTTATAATACCATTTCATGCTCATGAAAGGTATAAAAATTAAGTATATGTAAGTATACATATGTCCATATTGAGAAATTTTATACAAAAATGAAGATATGTACCTATAGTAAAGCATTGCTCTTAAAAACACAGAAAAAAAGTTCCAAGAGTCGTCTTGTACGCTGGGTTTCCAGTTCCAGTGAAAAAAAAAACATAACCCTCGCTAGATTCACGCACTCAATGCGGCACGCGATATTGGCAAAAGATGATGACGAAGTCCTTCAGAAGGATTTGGTTTGCTGTTCCGGATTCGGTTAAAACCAGCTTACAGCGCCAATCAAGAAGACGACTCAGTAAAGTACTTGTATGCCTGTATGCACGCAAAACCAAATCATTAAAAAATATCCTTTATTTTAACCGTTGTTATAATGGACACAGAAAAGGTTCTGGCTGAATTTCCTAATTTCTACTACAGATCCTTTCTCGGTGACAGGTAATAAGACCAACGGAGATAAGGTCAATTGACTTTATTTCCCAGCCTAGTGGAGCTTCGCGGCGGCCTGTGTCCGCGCGCCACACCACGTCACGCTACGCCGCGACTTAAAAAGCGCAAACAGTCAACGACGTAGCGTACACGTAGGTTGACCCAGACACGATCTATCTTATGGGATTCGCGTGTTAACGACAGTGATGACAGGTAATAAGTCCCAGATGGTTTCTAAAATCACAAATTAGTTTTTGTGCAAATTGCAGATAGATGGTGTTAATGAATTTAACCCCTCGATTTTTCACATTTTTATATTGGTGAGTTATTGGAAGATTTCTGCTGTGTTTTGGCATCAACTTGTCTGCAGTAAAAAATCATATAATTTATGTTTCAAAAGAGTGTAAAACCAATCAATTAACTTACATGATCTCGGTTCCGATATTAAATATTCAATAATTGTTTATACCCGCATTTTGGCACATTGGCTTGAATGTGCCATCTAATAAATAGTGTCGTCGTTCTCCTTAGCTGCTTTTAAATGTTGTCATCACATATTGCTGGCGGAGACATGAATACAGTGTAAGAAAATTCCTTTTCTATAATTGTTTCCTTATAGAAAGGTTGGTTTCTTTTACACCTTAGACATTCCGAATTCGTTCAAAATATGCTAATTTAAAACACAGAATTATTTTAGTGTTCCTCCGTGGTTTTTGGACATGGACTGTTTCTTCAATTTAATAGTGTTCGCTTTATTGTTATGGAAACGAAGCATGTTTTGCAAGTTCTGGATCATTTCTACACTCTTTCTTAAAATATTTCTCGTATTCCAGCTGCGTTTTGCGTTTGGTTTTTCGCATCGTGTTTTTACTATATTCGTAATTTTATTTTTTTAATAAAATCAATTGGTGGTAGTTCATGATTGTGTGTGGATTAATAGCACACTGAGGATTTGGCAGTAACCTTTTTACATATATTAAAAAACAACACTTCTGGGGCAATGTTTATTGTAAGAACAACATTTTTTCTATGAATCGACATACTTTAAGCATTGTTGACGCTATTTCCATTTGAATGAGGAAATAGCGTCAATGACTTTATTTCCAATAATAATTCCACCCTGGTGCGAAATAAAGTCAATTGGCATTATCACCTTCCGTTGATCTCGTTACCTGTCACCCCTTAGACGTTAGGCTATATAGGTCCTCCCCACGCAGTTCTAGATATTTGTATATACTTACATATAGTATATGTGAAAATATTAGGTATTCTTTGCTATCCGTAAAGACGCCTGCTTACCTATCCTGTTGAGATTTATAACAGTGATTCTGCACCTTTTTTCAGATTCTGATACAACCCGATACTGTGTATGAACGCGTGCAGTACCAATTTGAGGAAGACGCCTTTGATGCGGTACCTGATCTTATCACCTTCTATGTAGGCTCAGGTACAACATAATATAATCCACTTTCTTCTTTTGCTACCTACAGTGGAGGTAAAAAATGGATGAGTGGTGTTTTGTTTTTAATATTGAGGCATTTCATGTCACCGCAGCCACCTCTGTGCGCGACCTCTAAGGATTTGGATGAAAGTTGAAGAGATTGAAGGTCTAGGTGACATGAATATACGTGTGGCATATTTTGCCGATATGACGTAGGGTTTCCTATTTATACGGGACTAAATTTTAAGAAAACGTCATACATACCTTTCTTTAAAGTGATGTATCTTGGAAACCTTTTATCGCAACTTAATGAACAAAAAATGTATTTCTTCCGTCTTATTATGGACATTAATTGTACATTTTTTACATTAATGTGCTACGTATGAAAAACGAAAATAAATTAAGGAAACATTTTTCTTTTTGATTTTTTTTTGATTATAGCATTAAAACATTGTCTTTAATGTCAACTTCAAGTACCCGAATGGGCGTAATGGGCTACTTATGCATATGGATCGTCTAACGCTCGAGAAATATGATAAAAAGGCATTAAAATTTTATGAAATTGTATATTTTTGAAAGAGGAAAGGTGTGTTAAAAGCAAAAACAATATGAATAAAGGCCTGAAATCATGAAAATACCTTCAAGGAAATGGCAGAATTAAACTTTGTTGCAAGTTCACATGGGAAATCTGCTTACGATGTGATTGGAGGAAAGTTTAAGAGACTAGCAGCTAGAGCAAGTATTCAACTCCTGATGTTACAACAAATTCGTACACCCGAAGACCTCTACGAATGGGATGCCTGTAAAAAATAACTGCACCTAACTTTTCAGCGGACTTTATTTCGACTATGACTACGTGCCAATTACTTTAATCCTATTTTAAGTTAGTTTAAAAGGTTAAATAACATCAAGTTAGGGAACTTCATATCCTTATTTAACGAATCTTCAAATCAATAAATATTTTTTTCTTTTTAGTTCTTCTTTTAATAAAAGCGTGTGGTTGGTTTTTTTTAACTATAATTTTATTACTCATTAGGTTTATTTTTTTACACGCCTTTCCTTTCCTTGTTTTAATAAAATGACTAACCTTGAAGCTATCATTGGAGGTCTAATATTGTTTTGCAAGGAAACCGAAAAAAAATAAATCTAATGCGTAATAAAATTATAGTAAAAAAAAAACACAACAACACGCTTTTATTACAAGAAGAACTAAAAAGAAAAAATTATTTATTGATTTGAAGATTCGTTAAATAAGGATATGAAGTTTCCTAACTTGATGTTATTTTACCTTTTAAACTAGCTTAAAATAGGATTAAAGTAATTGGCACGTAGTCATAGTCGAAATAAAATCCACTGAAAAGTTAGCTGCAGTTATTTTTTACATACATCCCATTGGTAGAGGGCTTCGGGTGTAAGAATTTGTTGTAACATCAGGAGTTGAATACTTGCTCTAGCTGCTAGTCTCTTAAAATTTCCTCCAATCACATCGTAAGCAGATTTCCCATGCGAACTTGCAACAAAGTTCAATTCTGCCATTTCCTTGAAGGGATTTTCATGATTTCAGACCTTTAGTAAAGTTAGTACGATTTATTCATATTGTTTTTGTTTTTTACACACCTTTCCTCTTTCAAAAAATATACAATTTCATAAAATTTCAATGTCTATTTATCATATTGCTCAAGCGTTAGACGATCTAGAGTCCAAATGCATAAGTAGCCCATTATGCCCATTTGGGTACTTAAAGTTGACATTATAGACAATGGTTTTGTGTAAAAAGAAACATTTTTAAAAATGCTATAATAAAAAAAAATATCAAAAAGAAAAATGTATACTTAATTTTTTTTTGTGTTTTTTATACATTGCACATTAATGTAATAAAAGCACAATTAAAGCCCATAACAAGACGGAAGAAATACACTTTTTTTCATTAAGTTGCGTTAAAATGTTTCCAAGATACAGCACTTTAGAGAAAGGTATGTATGACGTTTTCTTAAAATTTAAATCCCGTGTAAATAGCAACCCTACGTCATATCGGCAAAATATGCCGCACGTATATTCATGTCACCTAGACCTTCAATCTCTTCAACTTTCATCCAAATCCTTAGAGGTCGCGCACAGAGGTGGCCGCGGTGTTATGAAATGCCTCTATTTACAATGGTTTTAAAGCTAAAATTTGTTTGATATTTTTTTATAAAGATATGGTTCATGCTTTATCAAAAACTATATAAATCATACTTTCAAATTATGTGCAGAACTTGGAAAAATTCTACAAATTTTCATCTAAATTTCGAGTTTTTTAACCAGAATTGAGTAGTCCACTTGCAAACAGCGTTATGTGATTTTATAATAGTAAGCCATAAATTAAAAAAAGTCTACAACAACAAGTAAAATCCAAATTGTATATTTTTTTATTATCTGAAAATTTGGATAAATAAGAGCCTAATAACATTAAAAAACGAAATGCAGTGTGGTAGTTTCTGCAAATTATATATATAAAAAAATAATATAGCGAGTTTTGAAACAGTAACTTTTACATAGCTAGCTTTTTTTAGCTTTACGCGTTCTCTGTTCCATGAAGATTGGTCTGCTTCTTTTTTGCGACGTCTTCCACTAGGCACCGAAACTACAACGTTTTCTTGCAGTTTTCTAAGTTCATAAGAAGACGGGGACTTTTGAACTTGTATAAATACGTACAATAAATATTATAGCGACTTTTGAAAGTGTATATATAAATACATTGAGTATTATAGCGACACTTGCTAGAGTAGCTAAGATTTGATGCTATTTTTTCAGAATATATAAGGATTTTGCACTGTATTGTTAGTGGATATGAAACTACTTTAAATACTGGTAGGTTAACCACCAAAAACTAAAAATCGAAAAAATCTTACATAGAGCACTTTGCAAGTGGACTACTTAATTGTTAGAAATTTTTTGGGTATGCAGTTAACAAGTTTATAAAATTCTAGTAAAATAAGTGCAAGTTTTGAGCTTTTAAAAAATCGCATTGATTTTTAATAATTTTTTTGTTGACGGCGTTTTGCACTTTTTTCCATATAAACATGAGTTTCTCATGCGCAAGACGGTTTGCGAAAAAAAAAATAATAAACGCCAGTTTTACTAAATTTCGCTATTTATATGAAAAACAAAACCGCAAAAGCCGTCAGCAAAAAAAAAAATTATGAAAAATCAATGCGATTTTAAAGCTGCTTAAAATTCACACTCGTTTTACTAGAATTTTATAAGCTTGTTAACTGCATACTCAAACAATTTCTAAAAATTCTGGTTACATAGCTCGAAATTTGGATACAAATTTTTGGAATTTTTCTAAGTTCTGTATAAAGTTTGGAAGTGTGGTTTATATAGTTTTTGTTAAAGCATGAACCATATTTTTATAAAAAAATATCAATAAATTTTAGCTTGAAAAATATTGTAAATATTTAAAATTAAACACCATGCATTAATTTTTGATCGCCACTGTACTTTCAAAACTCCAATAAATACATATCTTTGTTTGCAGGCAAACCTATTTCGGTAGCTTCGGGAGCGCGAATTCAGTACCCATGCAATCGTACATATCCACTATCATTCTATGGCCATAAGATTGTTGGCAATCACTTGCACACTCAAATGCTGGCCGGTATACGTGTTGCTAGTCCACTCAATTCTCCAATAAGCCATAGTGGGAATTTTCGATTTGGCTCAGGAATAATAACACAATATACCCAACAACAGCCAGTGCACAGCCCGATGTCGTCGCCGCCGCGCATCAAACGCGACTTACCTCCACGCTTGCCATCAAAGAAACAGCGCTCGCAGTCGTTAACCCCAGCACACGCCGTGCTCACTGGCACTTTGCTTCAATCGCACAATAGTGAGTCGTGCTCTAGCGCCGATGGTGTGATACAAGCCAAGCAAGCACCAGCCGGAGAAAGCAACAATACGAATGGACATCGTGATCTTGGGCGCAGATTCAGCGATTTTGAGAAAGAGATACGGTCCCACGAAATGTCGCTGGGAGGTGCTGAAAACCTGCAATTGCACAGTCCCTTGGAACATTTGGCTCAGGCTGGTAAATTGCATGGTAATGGGTTTCAAACAATCGCGCGTTGTTCAGCTGTCACCGAAGCATTGGATCACTTCAAGTTTACCACGCATTCGTTGCCACGGCCTAATACGAATAATTTTCGTGGCAGTACCGCCATGCGCATCTCTAGTTTAGCGCGCGATTTCGGCTCAGACGCAGCAGCTTTGGGCACCAGTTTGGAGGGGAAGCAAATACCAGAGTTGCCAGAGAGACCACCGAGTCCGCCGCCGAAGCCCGTGCGCACAAATAGTCAAACGCGTAAAGAGAAGGAGCAGTCAGCTGCACATCGTGGAGGCATAGTTGCAGTTGGTTACCATGCCAGCGGTTCTGATTCGGGCAATGGCTCCGGTGACTCCGCGCAGAGCTCAATACCTGGAGATTTGAATAATGAATTTACTCAGCACCGCGGAGTGATAATCAAAAATCCACGCTTCCTAACCAATTCGGCATCATCGGCTACTTTGAAGAGTCTGACGGAGTTTGATGCGATTGCTGCAGAAGAACAGCTTTTCACACTGGACATACTCGAATTTAAACCGGTGGGTGAAAACAAATTTGACCCATACCGATCTGCATATCGCCATCAAGGCAAAAGCCCCTTTAAACCGATTTAAATTTACATGTGAAATGACTCTATAGGCGAAAAATTCTCGTATTTTTAAGATTTGGCATTGAACTTTGATAAGGAACAAAACAAGGTTATCAACTTGTGATGTCTTCATGCAAGCCCTTTTTGGATTCTTGTTGTTGAATATGTATGCAGAATACTATTCCTCTTAGGGCAAACCGAACGATGAGTCTCTATTTAATAAACTATTTATTGCCCATAGTTATTTATACACCATAAGCCATACTAGTAGAAAACAGCCAATAGATAATGGTTTTAACTAAGAAAAGCCGAGTAAGTTCAAGTCTTATTTTCACTCGTTCTCTAGGGAAAAAGCATTTCTGACTGCCCAGCTGAATATTTAGCTCTTTTCCGCTCTAAAATAAAAAAGTTGAGGATGTTCTACTACCAAAATCTTTTGAATCAAAATGTCATCCTCTATCTGATGGCACAATGTCTGCCAAGCATTTTTTTGATACTAATGTACAAACATATGTATGTGAAAGTAGCTCATATACATAAATATCGTCACCTGAAATATAAAAAGACGTAACTAATAAAAAATTCAAAATGCACTTTTTGATTGATATGTCCATCATATTTCATCGAATTATAACTCGCACATCATTTTATGAAAAACAAAAATTATTCACGACTTTTCACATTTCAGTTACGATGTTGTTAGTCTTTGGCACTTCAGGTGACGATATGTACGTTAGGGCGAGTCGAAAATCTAATTTTTCTCAAATCCCTTGGAAATAGTGAAAATATATTGTATCATGAAGTCAACAACAAGCCTGCAAAATATTAGTCTTTTACTTTAATTGTGAGAGATCGCGCATCGACCACCAAGTGACCCACAGCACATTAGTCGAATAAGACAATTCTTGTTAAAAATTCTGGGTTCAGCTAAAAGGTTTGGTGAATATTACTAGATAACGAAACTGCTAACACAAAAGATAAAGTGAAATATCATTTCTCGAAGCCCTTTAGCTTATCGTTGATCTCAAAGTTTTCTGTTTTCAATAACATTTTAATTGTTCTCTTGATAATTGCATTGGCCTATAGTCAAAAGATGAAAAGAACAGCATTAATATTGCTGGCATGCATTTAGGTCGCTGGTTCCAAATATTCTAATCTTTTTTTAATATGAGCTATATATGCGAATTTTTGCAAAATTCAGGAACAATTTCGGTAGCTCTAATAGAAAAGCCATTATTTTCCATCATCGTGGAACAATTTTGTTTATCCAAATGAGTATGGAAACACTGAACAGGCACAACTTCTAATTAGTTTACTTATGTTTATGCATACAATATAAAAATTGAAAATATAGGAAAATGGCAAAAAAATTTGTTCAACATTTTTTTATTTTAAAATAATTTGTTAATAATCTGAACGATTTTCATCATATTATTATAATAAATCAGTAACAGCAAGTCTCGCCTTCAATTTTGTAATTATTACGTACCGTTCGAGTAAAATTTATCAAAGTTATATCGAAAAACTTAAGTTTTTTTTTTAACTTCTCTTCAATTGTATAAATAACCTTTAAATGAAAGAACCGGATTACAGAAAAGTGTGCCAGAGAGTGACTTTTCGTTCAAGCTAAATGCAAAGCTATATCGTCCAATTGGAGAGTCCTCAAAAGGATTTCCCAGGATATGTTAAAGACTTTTTCACATAATGGAATTAACTAAAATATTTAAGTATATCTAAACACTTATTGCACGTCCCCTACTTTGTGACCAATGAAACCATGGACCTAAAATGGCCGTTTCTCACCCTATATGTATTATGTTAATGTATGTATGTAAATGCTTATTTGCTTGAAACTACTATTAACTTACCAAACGATTCTTATTCTTTGACAATACATGTTTGACTTTATTCACCACGATCTTGAAAACTGACCAAATCGGCGTGACCAAGTCCATAGTCATTTTGATATTATATAAACATCCGAAAACATTAAAACGTTTGAAATAAATCTCGTTTTACTTTTTTGTATTTTTCACTTGGTTGCTGAAGTAATGAAGATTGAAAATTCATAAGGGAAAATTATAGTTTTTATAAGTTTTATCTTAATATCTTAAAAACGTGTAGACTTATTGAAAAATGATAAATGAACGTGAGGTACTAAATTTAAAAGCTCTTAATTTGATATATCGTCCTGTTTATAACAATTAACGCATGCCGTAGATATTCCAATCCAAAGTTTCATTTTCAAAATTCATACACTTTGATTCAATTGCGCGGGCTAAAGATAAGTTTTAAATTAGCCTTTCTTGGCCAATAACAATTGGCTTAGACCTAAGACATCATAATATTACTATTACAATACGGCCAAATTATTTATTATTTATTTTCCCCCACACAAAATCGGCCCAGCCTAATGTACGTATATTGATCTCTATTTCCGATCTGTTTTGTTGGTTATTTTCAACTTTACAACTGTTTATATATGTAATTTTTGTATGACATGTCAGAACTGGCGACATGGTTGTTTGCTATTTTGTGTCCGTTTATGAAAATACATGTCCTCCGCTTTCGTGCGACGTGGTAGCACAGGAAGTATTAGGTGTCCTACAAAAACGTCCAACATGGCACTAAATGTGAGTAAGTTGTAAACTGACTTCTTTGCCGTTTTTTTTTTGTTAAGGTTTCAAAGTTTGACTTCGAGAACTACATCACACTGCTGTTGCCGTCGGTGGATAACAAGCCCTTGGATGGTGATGCGCTCACCACCTTCAAGATGATGCTACTTGAGTCAGGACCAAAAGTAATTGCAGAGCATATCACACGTATCGACATCGGTCTGCTAATTGAGGAACTGCCAGAGGACGAAGATCGCAATGTCTTGGATTGTTGCGGCTTAGAAATGATCGCACTGCCATTTGGTAAAGTCTTCCGCGCTGATTTGATCGAGCGCACACAGTGCATGAAACTTATGGTCGCAGTAACAATACTCACTTGCCAAACGGACTTGGATCGCGCCGAGTTGCTCAGCAAATGGATACAAATAGCGGTGGAAACCAAAACGGCATTGGGAAATCTTTTTGGCTTCTGTGCCATTATGCTGGGGCTATGTATGCCACAGGTGTTAATTATAGCTTATTTACATCATACATAAGCTCTACTACATAAACACTTTTTCAGATTCAAAAACTGGAACAAGCTTGGCACATACTTCGTCAAAAGTACACAGATAGCGCCTTTACCTTTGAAGCATCACTGCGTCCTACACTAATCAGCATGAATGAGTGTTCGAATCCCCAAGCGCCAAATACAACAGTGCCACATGTTTTGCTGTACGCTTTGCTAAAGGATCGGCCGATCATCGATATCATTGGAATGAACAATACGAACTCTGAGAAGCGCTGTTCCCTTTACAGCACTTGCATTACGGCATGGGAAGCCAAAGCCGACGATTTCGGCATGACTATTAATTTTCTGCATCTAGATTCGGCGCGTCATTTCCTCAACAATCTAACGCTGTATAGGAAAAATGCTAAGATTCTGCTAGAAGAGTCCAGTCCACGGCTGGATGAGTTACTCAGTGATGCTTTCAGGTGAGTGAACCATGAATGTACATGCGTCAGGTGGGCATTATGTTTTAGCTTTTTTCCAGAACCGAGTTCCATGTGAAATTTTTGTGGGGAAGTAAAGGCGCTACCGCTTCGCCAGAAGATCGTCATTCCAAATTAGAGAAAGTGCTGGCACTTATGGCTGACAAATTTTGCAGCGCAGATTGCAATACAGCTGCTGCATAAAAAGGGTTCGATATTTTGTACATATAAAAGCAACTACGTTTATACTTTCATAATGAATAGAATGGATATTCTCTTACATACATATATATATGCATGTCCATAGGTGTGGATGCATAAATTTACAGTGATTAGACTCAGTATTTTATAAGCGATCCTTCTTTCGCTAGTTGCGATAAGAAAATAGGTTTGTTTCACTCCCTGTTTTTTTATAAACTGGTGGAATGGAATTGGAGGCAAGTGTTAGTAAAGCTAAAAGTATCGCGTTCAGAATAAAGCTTAGTATCCAGCTCTTAAGAAAACGGTCAAGAAAAAATTTGCCATTATTTCGGGCGTTTGTCCAAGGAATTTTCAGATCAGATATTTCATAGTATGTTGCCTCAAGAAATAGTGGAACGGACATATATTCACATAAGAAAATTTCTTAGTCATTTCTTGTGCGTCATTTTATATGGAGTTTTTGCTTTTCTTGAGAGCTAGATAATAAGTTTTAATGTGAATAAAACAAAGACAATTCTTTACATAATGTATTTGCTATCTTTTCTGATAGTCAGGCAGCTACTAAAGCACTTGAAAGTGACAAATGCATATCAAGTATAGTCATGGAGTGTAGACATACCCTAAATGAGCTGGCAAAGGGCTCGTCACGCATCAAGGCGAATTCATGTAAGGTGGTGTTGCTAGAACAGCTGCTTTAATTCGCCTCGATACACAAATATCAAAATTTCTTCTGAGATAGTGCAAAAATTAGAGTGTTAGAATTTTCTATCCTTCTTCCTCCTTGAGCGGAAAAACACCGAAATTTGACATTTGTGCACCGAAGCAAAAACAAAATACATATAATATTTTATATGAATTCACCTTATCACGCATATACATAGTATGGACGTCATGTCGAAAGATACATATATTAAGTAACTACATGATAGATGAAGAAGTAAGATGACTGAAATCCTTTTCTAAGGAAATTTCTATAATTTTTAGACCCACAAACCACTTCGAAAATTTTTAATAAGTAACTTAAGGAATAAAGCACTACTATAAATATACAGATTAAAAAGATTACTTTAAATACATATGCACGTATTAAGATACACACAAATTTAAGGAAGTAGGTACTTGTCGACCAGCGAGTGCACAGGGAACTTAAAAATTTGTGGGCTTAAGTAAACCTACCAATGATGCTACAAAGGTATCTTACTAAACACGTTATATATACATATATACATACATACATATGTATATTTGATATTTAATACTTCTATACCTATATATGTACATATACATGAGTATATACATATAAACAAATTTAAAAAATATTATAACTTACAAATTGGACAATATTTTAATCAAACGCATTTAATTTATAGCATTTTATATCGCAAATACAAAATATAGTACTAATTAAGTAAAATAGCAAAAGTCAAAAATAAATACGCATAAGTATTTCAATTTTGTTTGGATATAAAATTCTATTTCAAAATTCGTAAGTATACCTACTTTCTCTTAATTTTGTACTACCGAATTTATGTAGGCCAATCTCAGCCCGAAACCAAGACTAGGCCGAACCAAATATTTTTAATGGATAACAAAAATGTAAACAAGTCCTTTGTAACAGTGTGAACGCGGCCTTGTGAAAATTGGTAGCACAGAAGAGACTTGGGATGTATCAATATGTATGTAGAAAACCAATAATATGCTCAAAAAATAAAAATTAGTAAATAAATTTTTTTACTAAAATTGCAATTATCTTCGAAAGTATTAGTCCTACTTAATTTGGTATATGTACCTTTTTTGTAGAGAATCGAAGTAAGCTAAGAAAAATATTTTTAGCACTTGAATCTTTATGGACTTGGGCGAGTCTAAGATATTGACCAAAAATTTTCATCTTTCACACAGATTCAGGGTATTCACAGTTCGTTCCAAATAGTGTCTCAAAATGTAGAGGTCTACATTTTAAGACGTTTTCTAACCGTAAAATCTGTGGTGTTGTTGTTTCCCATACAAAATTGGAAAACGACGCCATCTACATTTTGTCACACTCAAAGGTATGTTTTTTACGCGTCTACATTTTGCAACCTCGCAGCAGGGTTGCATTATGGCAATGCCAATCACATTTTTTTATTTATTGGGCACGTTTTCTGTATTTGCGTTTAATTTGAGTGCAATTTCTGATAAAAAGAAACAAATCAAGGAAAAGAAATAACAAATTTTCGGAATTGGTAATTAAGTTGAATAATTACAATTTTTCAGAACCAAAATCGAAAGGCAACATATAAAAAATGCACGCAAAGAAGAAATGTCTGACAACACCTGTGAAGTTTTTAGACGATTTTGCGACGACTGCGATAAAGGGGTGCTCACAGTTTGATGCTAGGTTAGGTTAGGTTGATGTGGCAGTCTGTTCAAATTACCAACTCACTTAGACCTTTTGAAGGTCCATTGTGGTACCACTGCAGAATACGGGAACCTCTGTACCTAATTTTCACAGAACCATTTCGAAGCTCTTATAAAGCGCAGGATTGGCTTTATTCCTACGCATGATGATTCCGTAAAAGAGCTAAAAAGGGCCTACCTAAAAAGCCTGCTCTCCTCCTGGCCAGAGCTGAGCAGCTACAGAAGAAGTGCTTTATGGTTTCTTCCTCTTCCTCATCCCTGCAACTTCTACAATATTCGTGGGAGAATATTTCCTAGTCTCGAAGAGTGCCTGCCAAATAGCTAATGACAGGTAACACAAGCCATGACCCTTACAATATCCTCTCTTGAGAGGCTGAGCAACTCTTTCCCCTTTTTCTTATCTATTTGTGGCCAAAGTAGCCTAGTTGTTCTACAAGTGCCCTCCTCTAGCCATGACCTGTTTGCCTCTTGGATCATGCTATTTCGAAGCTCTAATTTGCAGGTTGCCATGGGTATCCCAATTGTGCCTCTGTTTTCACATAGCGGGAGATTAGTACCTATTCTGGCTAGCTCATCGGCCCTGCAATTTCCTTCAATACCTCTATGTCCCGGAACCCAAATGAGGCTGACCTTGAACACGGCGCTGATATCGTTTAGAGCTGCGAGACATCCCTGCGCAACCTTCGATCTCAGCATTACCATGTTCATTGATTTAATGGCCGCCTGGCTGTCCGAGAAAATATTAATCGTAGTCCTCGTTACGACATGCGTACTAAGGTACACAGCCACCTCCTTTATAGCTAAAACCTCTGCCTGATGAACATTGCAGTGGTCCGGAATTCAGACGGATAATTCTAGTCCTAGTTCCTTGCAGAAAACTCAGTAGCCAACGCTATTGTCTACCTTGGATCCATCCATATAAAAATTCAGTTCCCACCTTCTCCATGGTCTTGGTGTTTGCCATTCTCTTCTTGACGGGATGCTCGTCTTGAAGAGCCTATCGAAGGTTGGTTTAGGGGCGGAGTAGTCCACTTCTTGTTTGTGACTACCCAGAGTGTGAAGTATAGAGGCGTGACCGAACCGCCGATCCTTCAATAGCACAATGCTTTTTAGTCTGAGCGCTGAATCGGCGGCCGCGTATTTACCCACCAGGTTTGTTGCAGGCAGTTTGGTTACCACCTCTAACGCTTTGTTTGGAGTGGTCCTTAAGGCACCTGAAATGCGTAGGACCTTACTCAATAGTTTTAGGTAACTTGGCTTTTGAGTTGCTGGCCACCATATGAGTATTCCATATAGTAATATTGGCCTGACCACCGAGGTGTAAAGCCCGTGAGTTCCCTGTCTAATATGAGTCCTAGATACTTAAAATTCTCCTTCAAAGATATCTCCACATCCATAAAGATTACCGGAGAGACTGTGGGAAGCCTATGTTTCATTGCTTCATTTTTTTCGGGGTTTATTCCGAGCCCCCTCCTCTCTGTCCAGTTTCTAAGCGTGGCCATGTTAGAGCGCAAAATCTCCATTAGGGTATTTGGGTATTTGCCTTTAATGGCAATTGCCAGGTCGTCAGCGTATGCAGTGACGTGGCAACCCCCCCTCCCGAATGCTTTCAGCAGAGAGTTTACTGCCAAATCCAGAGAAGATGGGAGAGAACCCCTCCCTGAGGAGTGCCTCTACAGACCTCTCTGCTTATTGTGGTGTTGCCAAGCTTAGCGGTTGTCTTCCTGCTGACAAGTATAGACTCAATCAGCGCTCTACGTTGTGGTCAACTCCAAGCTCTTCTAAGGCACCCGTTATGGCGCTTACTTTAATGTTGTTGAAGGCGGGCGCCTTCTATATCCACAAAGGCAACCAGAGTATACTCTTTATCTGATAAACTTTTTTCCAACCCGACGAGCGAGTGTTAGGCGGTTTCCGTAGATTTGCCTTTCGTATAGGCATGCTGCGCTAGGGAGAGCATACTAGTTGGTATCACACCCCGTACATAATCATCCACTATCCTCTCTAAAATTTTGAGCAAAAAAGACGTAAGACTGATGGGTCTGAAGTCCTTGGGGTTAATGTGAGAGGACCTACCTGCCTTGGGTATGAAGGAGACTTTTGTCTGTCTCCAGCCTAGCGGAATATAGCCCATGTTAAGACAGCTTCTTATATAGACGCAATGCCGGGTGTATGCGGTCAAGTCCCGGTGACTTGTAAGGACCAAAAGTCTTAATAGCCCATTCGATTTTCGCCTTAGTGATCAGTCGATTTCCTAGATCAGATAGCCCCCCGTCATTTGTGGGGTCGTTGAGTTCCATCGGATTGCTACTTGGGAAGTGTTTGTCCAGGAGGAGACCTTAAGATTCCTCGCTCGTCGTAGTCCATGAGATCCCTTGACCCTTGAGATAGCCAAGGTTGCATGGCGACTTTGCAAAAATTATTCTTAATCTGGCCGCTTCCGTGGTTTCCTAAATTCCCTTGCAATAACTCTGCCATGATTTACGTTTCGCATTTTTAACTGCTTTTTTGTATATTTTCAAATCAGCCTTATAGGCTTCCCAGTCCTCTGTTGCTCTCGTGGCTTTGGCCTTATTGAACATTGTCCTATTGGATTCACGTAACGAGGATAGTTGTTGGGGTGGTTTGTCCTTCCCCCTGTATCTAACAACCAGGCATCCGGCTGACAAAGAACTATTCATGGCTTTAGTGAGCTGATTAACCCACCCGCCCAATTCCGCCTGCGTGGCGGGGTCCCGGGAAGGTATCTTTCGCAATAAAGTCCTCAGTTTTTTGTTGTGAACCCCCAGTTGGTATTTCACACATTTCTGAACTCCCTAACTTGGGGGGTCTTGAAATCTACTTTGAATTGAATATAAAATGGTCACAGCAAGACTTTTCACTAAGTACTCCCATCTCTTGATTT